TATTTTCATGTATTTAAATTTTATTGTTATAATTTAAAAGTATTAAAATTTATTTTTATTGTGGATAGAATATAGAAAATTATATTAAATGAGTGGATAATGGGTCCCACATATATATTTAAATGAATGAGTATGAATGTGGGTGTATGTTTAAATGAAGAGAGATTTGGTGAAAAGATGATGTGGATGAGAGAGAGTGTAACTTTTTGATTGAATGAATGGAAAAAAATTTGTACCAATGTGGATGCCCTTAGTGGGTATATTAAAATAATATTTAAAATAAAATGATTAAAGTTGATTTGAGGTAAAAAGTAAGAGAGAGAAGTTGAAGTGATGGTTAGTTAAAATTATGTGAGTTGATGAATAGTGAATTAAGGTTAATGTGATGTGTATAAATGATTGGTTGATAATATCTAATTATAGTAAAATATTGATGATAGTGGGGTTGAGTTAAAGTTGAGTTAAAAAAAAAGTATTTGAGTTAAAAATAATTGAAATTTTTTGAGATAATTTTGTATCCAAACATCCTCTTAAAAACTCCATTTTCTTATTAATTTTATTGGTGCATCACAACAAATTTATTTATATGGTGTCACATATTTTATTGGTGCATCACAACAAATTTATTTATATGATGTCACATATTATGGGTAAGACTACTGATAGCCAAAATTTTGTGTTTTTAAACCTCTTATAAATAATCCATTACTAAACCAAACAAAAGAGTTCAAAACTATACTCAATCAGCCATAATTAGCCATGTCCTTTGTGTTAGCAAGCCTCGAGCGGCTCGTGAGCCGCGTGATCAATTTCGCGTTCGACCGGTGGCTTCAGAATCCGAAGTCCTTCTTCACGGACATGGACATGCTTTCCTTAGTCGGTTCGTACAAGCTGAAACACATTCCCATATCCAACCAACTCCGTTTGGTCTTCAATTATCCGTCAGTTGAATCCTTAAGCGACTCGTCGTGGAAGGATAAATTCGTCAAGGCCGAGGAAGCGAGCCTCAACCCCAACTTTCCTCAAACCAAGCGCTCGTTGCACGTGCTGGCCAAGCTCGTTCGCGCCCTTGTTCAAGGCCTCAGGCTCCAGCACGATGCCCGAGTTTCAGTCGGTTATGCTGATCGTCGAAAAATACTGATAGGTATAGATAGCCATATATATATATATATACAGCACTTATGTGTTTTTGGTCTCATAATTTATTTACTTAAAATTGATGATTTAGTATACACCCAATTAGTGATAAATAGTTTGTTGATTTCGTTGAGTTGGATTCAATGCCACTCAGCAAGTCGGTTATATTAACTGGATTTTCTCGGTAGAATGACCAAATTTCTGGGTTTTTTTTCGGGTATAGGGTATTTTGTAAAATCAACGGAATCACCGGATTATTTATCAATTTTGATGTCAGTTGAAGTACAAAATAACCAATTTTTTTCGATCATGATAGAAATTATGATATTTTGATGATAAATGGAATAGGAATCATTGGATTTTTTTTTTTTTCAAATTATTGAATATTTTGATAGAAAAAAAAGAGTTTTTTCGTCTCAAAATATCAAGAATGTGTCTGAATATTTGACTTAAATTTCAAAATATCAAGAATATGTCTGAATATTTGAATTAAATTTTCAAATGTCAAAGAGACTAGTAAATCTTTGCATATTCTAATTTACTATATTCCGATTTTTATCGGTATATCATGCATGTCGATAGGGAAAACCGAACCGGTGGTTGTACCGGGATGCGGTGAGAACAAAAGCCGGGAACTTGTTGATAAGCCGAGGAAACTTTGGGGCCTGGGGTCCAATACGAAGCATTTGGAAAGGATGGTTTGGGATTTGACGCTGAATAACTCGGGCTACGACAATGCATCCTATTGTGGAAATGGAAAGATGGTTATGGATGACCGTATGGTTCACTTAGCTCATACAGACGAGGAATTAGCTACCACTTTAGCACACGAGGTACGTAACTATTGAAAATACACCATAGCCATTTTCAGATCTCAAACAAGAAATGCAATAAAGCAAAGAAGATAGAGATCAATGGAGCGCAGCTTTCATTTCTCACGTACACAATGTTCAATAGGTTTTACATGAGCTGAGGAAAAATATTTATATACACATCAAAGGTGGATCATGTGGACAAGTGTCCTTAATTTGAAATCAATCCTACGGTTCTAATGAGTTCAAACTGGCAGTTTGCTTCTTTTCTGCAGCTTTAACCTTGGCAGCTTTTCTTTGTCTGCATGTCCATGCTGGCTCATTGTATGGTGCATGCTCGACGTGCCTTTTTCTTGACTTAGTCTCCTGTTGCATTTCTTCAGCATTGCTAACACTCCCCCTCAATCCGATCGAGCCTTTACTTGTCACTCCCAATTTATCTTTAAGCCGAGAGAAGGATTGAAGAGAAAGTGGTTTGGTAAGGACATCACTTACTTGTTCAGCTGAGGGAATATGGCATACTAACAGACTTCCCTTTTCCACTTTTTCTCTGACAAAATGGTAATCAAGTTCCACATGCTTGGTCCTACCATGCATCACTGCATTTGATGCCAAGAAGACTGCACTCTGATTATCCACCCAAATCACAGGTGTCTTGAAAATTTCCATCCCTATTTCACTTAGTAAAGACTGTATCCAAGTAACCTCAGAGGCAGCATGAGATAAGCTTCTATATTCTGCTTCAGTACTTGATCTAGAGACTGAGCTTTGCTTCTTAGAACACCAAGATACTAAGCAGTTTCCAAGAAAAACACAATAACCGGTTGTGGACCTTCTATCATCTAAATCTGCTCCCCAATCAGAATCTGAAAAAGCTTTTAAATCAAGATGAGCTGATCTTTTCAAATGCAAGCCATGATCTGCTGTACCACTTAGATACCTTAAGATTCTTTTAACAGCTTTCCAATGAGTATCTAAGGGGCTTGACATGTACTGGCTTACCTTATTAACAGCAAAGCTCACCTCAGGCCTTGTTAAGGTAATGTACTGCAAGGCTCCTACTACACTTCTATATAAAGTGTGATCTATTGTGGGATCACCACCTTCCTTTGTAAGCTGCAGTGAGGATACCATAGGAGTAGGCACTCCTTTAGCTTCTTCCATGTTTACTCTCTTCAGCAAATCAAGCACATATTTCCCTTGATTGAGATGGAGACCATCTGCACTTTTGCTTATCTGAATTCCAAGGAAATGTTCAATGTCTCCCAGATCCTTCACAGCAAACATCTTTCCAAAATTCTTAATAAAGTTTTCTATCTCAGCCTCATGAGTTCCAGTTATTAAAATGTCATCCACATATATGAGGATAAAAAGAAAACTCCCCCTTTTTCTTTTGAAGAAGAGAGAGCTATCTGCCTTTGAATCCTTGAATCCCATGGACTTAAGTGTTTCCTTTACTTTACTAAACCAGGCTCTTGATGCCTGTTTTAGTCCATATAGGGCTTTAGACAGTTTACAAACAAGATGCTCTTTTCCCTTTTGCTCAAAACCTGGGGGCTGTCTCATAAAAATAGCTTCATTTAGGTCACCATTGAGAAATGCATTACTTACATCCATCTGCCTTATGCTCCAGTCATGATGAACTGCTAAGGCTAGGATAATTCTTATGGTATTGTGCTTTACCACTGGACTGAAGGTCTCTGTAAAATCAAAACCTGGTCTTTGAGAATATCCTTGTGCTACAAGCCTTGCTTTATGCTTAGAAATGTCTCCATCTGAATTCCTTTTGATTTTGAACACCCACTTGCAGCCTACTATACTTTTGCCTTCTGGAGCCTCAACAAGACTCCATGTATTGTTTCTGTGTAAGGCATTTAATTCTTCTTGCATTGCCATTCTCCATTTCTTAGCTGAAAAAGCCTCATCTAAGGAAGTGGGCTCTACCTCTTGACATTCTGTGAGATAGACCTTGGGCTTATAGATTCCTGCTCTAGCTCTTGTGACCATGTGATGTTTTCTTGTTGGCTCATCTTTTCTTGGTTCCTCATTTGTATCTGTTAGGCCTGGTAAGTCCACAAATAATGGTATTGCTGGATAACTTGCAGTCTCTGGACTTAAGCTCCTTCTTGTGGATGAGGATCTCCCTTGAGTTTGTATGCTTGTGCCATCACTTTGGTTCTGGTTACTAAGATGAGGTGTGCTTTCTCTTCTTAGGTTTTGACTTGTTGCAACATTCCTCTTAATGATTGGGATTCCTGGTAGACTGCACATCCTTTCAAGGTTAGCCCCAACATTGTCTGTGGCTTTCTTTTCTGCATAAGGGAACCTCTTCTCATCAAAGACTACATCTCTTGTGATGATTACTCTTCTATTTGGCAGCAAGACCTTATATTCCTTGTATTGATTGCTGTAGCCCAGAAAGACTCCTGCACATGACCTGTAGTCCATTTTGTGCTTGTTGTAGGGTCTAAGGTGGGGATAACATAAGCACCCAAACACTTTAAGTCTCTTGTAATCTGGCTTCACACCATAAAGGATATTAAGTGGTATTTTGAAGTTCAAAGGTCTGCTGGGAATTCTATTAAGCAGATATGTTGATGTGATGAAAGCATCTCCCCAATAGCATAAAGGCAAGTGTGACTGAGCAAAAAGTGACAACCCCATGTTAACTATATCTCTGTGCTTCCTCTCAGCCAAACCATTTTGCTGAGGTGTATAAGCACAAGAAACTCTGTGCATAATGCCATTTTCTTGAAGCAGCTTGGATAATGCTTGATACTCTCCTCCTCCATCACTCTGAAAAGATTTGATTTTTGTCCCTAATTGATTTTCAACTAGAGCCTTAAAGTTCACAAAAGCACTGTGCACATCTGACTTTGCTTTCAACAAGTAAATCCAGGTGAACCTGGAATAATCATCTATAAAGCTAACATAATAAGCATAACCATTCAAAGACTTCACATGACAAGGGCCCCATACATCACTG